AGCCACTCCCATCCAATCACATGGGCGGCAAGCCACTCCCACAAAGGAGGCCACACCCACAGAGTAGGTTCGAACAATTTTTGAAACCCACCACTAATGAAGAAGGAGGGAATGGATATCATGAAAAGACAGGGGAAGAGTAAAAAGCAGTAGTTTTGTTCCGGGATGTTGAAGTTTTTCAGGGAAAAAAAACCCCATTGCTTTCTGTGTCTCTTCTGTTTGTCGAATTGACAATATTTACATGGTCTCCTTTATTTCCAATCTTGCTGTTCGGATTGGGGAAGTCATGGTCCCACAGCTTCATATCTTTCTCAGAGTCTGACTTTATATCTCAGTCCATATCAGCTTCCTTACTAGCCTTTCCTCACAGCAACTTAGGGGGAGAAAAGAGGTATGAATATGGCTTTATTTTTTTTGTAAGTGCAGTCCTAATTCAGAGATTTACCTGAAAAAAATCTGATTTACCACATTTTGTATTTAATGAAGAGTTTTCTCACACAATCCCACGGAGCCAAATAATTTACTTGCCCTAAAGGACATTTTTTTTTCCATTCAGGCGTTTCATTTGAATAAGTGTCTTCACAACCTCAGCAAGTGTGTATTATGTATGAGAAGGGTTTCATTTTCTGCTTTCCATCCTGAAACAAGTATTGTTAAGTTAAAGCAGCTGCCGGTCTGGGAAGCCTGGGGAAGAGAGCTGAGAACAAATTAAACCCAGCTTTTTTTTGAAGTAAATCAATTGCAATAAAAAGAGAAGTTGTGAAATTACCATGACACTAAATAATAAACAGAAATTTTTGGTTGCTTGAACAGCTAGTATTATGTATAGAAACAACAAATACAGCTTTATAAATGTTACTAATAAAAGCAAAAGTTCAAAATCTCAAGCAAGTCAAAAGAGGTAAGAAGTTCCCTTTATCTTAAAAACTAATTGTGGAAAACCAGAACATGACACCAAAGGAAATATTTAACTGTAAACTGAGTCCTTGGCTTCTTAGAATGCTTGATGTATTCTGGGTAGAAGCCAATCACTGCTGGAAAGTGTATGGTATCCTCTCCAATCTGATCCTCTATAAATATATTGGGATTGCCAGTTGTTAGCATATAGCATTATTTCATTAGCCGGGAGACTACAATGCAATTGCAGAGCAATAGTTTGGCTGCTTGTTTACCAGCTCAGTCAGATACATGCTTGCACAATTCACAAGAGGGCAAGCTGGCTTTGCACCAGAAAGAAAGATAAGCAGGTCTTCCTGCAGCATCATTCAAGGCCCCCTCCCTCCCCTCAAAAACAGGTACCACAACTGGGAAGGTTCAGAGGGCAGGAATCTGACTGCCTGCACGGAGCACCAGCTCGTCTTCCCCCCTCCATCTCCCAAGTGGTATCTATTTTATTTACTCTCATAGAAAATGCTTTCAAACTATTAGGTGAACAGAAACTGAGGCGAGTGATGGGAGCTCAGCTCGACACACAGTGCTAGGACTCGAACCGCTGATGCAGGAACTATCTCCAGCATCATTAAGCTATGGAGCCTCAAGATTTACCAGTAAGCATGGCCATGCACTGTAAATGTAAAACACCAATTATCTCTTGCAGGTGCTCTGTTTATTTTGCTCATATAGTTTGGCTTGGGTTAGGGTTAAACCTCTGTGACCTGCAGAATCTATGTGTAGAATAATGGAATGAAAATGTGTGGGTTTACGCTAGCCTCCATTACATCCACAGGCTAGATCAGTGTTTCTCAACCTTGGTGAGCCAAGGTGGCGCAGTGGTTAAATGCAGCACTGCAGGCTACTGCTAGATCAGCAGTTCAGCGGTTCAAATCCCACCGGCTCAGGGTTGAC